CTACTTCTGCTTCATTGACTATGCAAAAGCCTTTGACTGTGTGGGCCACAGCATACTATGGCAAGTCCTTAAAGAAATGGGAGTGCCTGACCACCTTATCTATCTCCTGAGAAACCTATATGTGGGACAGGAAGCACCACTTAGAACTGGATATGGAGCAACTGATTGGTTCAAAATTGGGAAAGGAGTACGACAAGGCTATATATTGTCCCCCTGCTTATTTAATTTATATGCAGTATAGATCATGCAAAAGGCTGGACTAGAGGAATCCCTAGTCGGAATTAAGACTGCCAGAAGAAATATCAGTAACCTCAGATATGCAGATGACACCACTCTGAGGGCAGAAAGTGAGAAGGAATTAAAGATCCTCTTAATGGGGGTGAAAGAGGAGAGAGCAAAAAATGGTCTGAAGCTCAACATCAAAAAAACTAAGATCATGGCCACTGGTCCCATCACCTCCTGGCAAATAGAAGGGGAAGATATGGAGGTAGTGACAGATTTTACTTTCTTGGGCTCCATGATCTCTGCAGATTGTGAAGCAAACATGAAATTAAAAGATGCCTGCTTTTTGCGAGGAAAGTGATGAGAAACCTAGACAACATCTTTAAAAGCAGAGACATCTTTTTAAAAAAAGAGACATCTTCAGCCGATCTGTGGCTCGAAGCTGATGTGCCCTTAGTAGAATTTCAAGTGTGGCTACATGCATTTCGTTATTGGTTAAACGTGGTCTATGCCCCAATAACCTGTGGCTACCTGTATTATTTGCTGAAATATGTCTTTGCCAGCTCATGGAATAAGGGATTTACAGAAAAACTATATCTCTCAGGCTTCTCTATGGATTTCCTACTGAGACAGCCTCAAGGTAGTATTAAACCAATACTTAACACAGTGGTGTCGAACTGTGGCCCTCCAGATGTTCTTGGACTTCAACTCCCAGAAGCCTTCACCACCACCTCTGCTGGCCAGGATTTCTGGGAGGTGAAGGCCAAGAACATCTGGAGGGCCGCAGTTCGACACCACTGACTTAACATATCAAACATTCAATATTCTATCAAAGTTTCAATATTCAAAGATTCAATTACCTTCAATATTCTCTAGCTCGTGCAGACAGGACTTGTGTTTTGACCTAAATTTTAACTTCCCCAAGCCAGCTAACTACTTATACCAAATTACTGCACCAAGATACCGAGTTGCCTTTTTAAGGGCTAGGTTTAATTGCTTTCCCTCAGCCCTTTTAAAATGACATTTGAATAACACCCTGTAGCGAACAGTCCTGCCCTCACCTGTCCGTCACCGCAGAACATTGAAGAAGGAGCCTATGAGGGGCCAGGAGGTGGAGCCAAGGGGGGACGGAGCTGGATATAAAGACTGTTGGATAGAGTCTGGGAGAGAGAGACCGTGTGTAACTTGAAAGTGTCTGGAAAGTGAGT